CGAATCAAAATACCTCAAAACATGAAATCCATAAAGAGAATCATTATATAAGCCACATATAACTAGAGAACCAAAAAGAATATTTTTTTGGGGTCAAAAGTCTCCTAGAGGGACATGTTCCTTTTGGTTAATTACATTTTGAGGGATACCTAATAATACTCTCGATAAAAGGATTTCACTTTATTATCATGAACCTGGGCATAAATTATCAAAGGTAGGTTATTTCGTTTGGGATGGTCCAGATGCTTCAAAACTTGCACTAAGTGATCCCCTTTTCATTTATATACTTCTGATTCTGACTCCACTGCTAAGAACTAGATGTAAGTTTCCTGAAAACGGAAGCCAAAAACTTAGAATCTATCTAGTAGTACTACGATGTATGTCTAGATAGATTCTCAATTCAATTTATTTATATTTCTTTCTTTACAATGGTGCCAAATACTTGACTCCAAGGCAAGTAAGAGTGCAACTGTTATATTTAAATATTGTGATACTACACAAGTATATATATATATTGTTATAAAGTAATATAGAACTTTTTTATTAAGCCCCGAAATATCAAACCCACAGGGAGAACTACAAACCCTCAAGAAGAAATTAAATAACAAACTCTACTTTGAAAAAGAGTTTTACTAAAACTATAGATACTATGGTAGGAATGAAAGATTGAACTTTTTTGTAATTTTGATAATTAAAAATAAAGTAAACAACTAAATAAATTTAACTAGATTTTTTGAAAGATGAAAGCAATACAAATAAAATATCTTTTTTCTTATCATGAATCAGTAACAAGTATAAGAATTTTATTGTGAAAGTATTTAAATTTTTTTGTGTCAAATAGGATTAATATTAATCTTTACCTTTACTAGAGATGTTATAAAGAACATTGTTTAATCTGAAGTTTGAATAGTCCTGAAGACGAGCTAGGTATGGAAGATATTAGCTCTCACTGTAGAGTTGCCTCTTCTCCCTCCACTTGGGGGCTACCCTTTTGTATCAAGACCTAAAATAATAGACCGAATTGGTGGCTTTAGTCTATCACTGGTGGCTTTAGTGAATTGGTGGCTTTAGTCTATCACTCTAAAGTCCTCTAAATCTACACCCTTCAAAGTTTATTTCCCTATTTATTTGCACTCAACCATATGAATTACATTCTCATCCATACAATCTCATGTGATTCTACCATTAGCTGACTGAGATAAGTATTATTACGGATCTTACATGTTCTAACAATAAATATTAATATCTCAATTGGCCAAATCAAGAAGTAAATGAAGTACAATAATTAAATCATCACAACTTATTCTTGCATTATAAATCAATTCACACAACTTTCATCCAACACTTAATTACTTATCTTTTCAAGGAAAAATATAAACAAAACTACTAAGAATTCATGGAGAAAACACAATAATAATTAAGTTTAAAAGTAGAAATCATGTAAAAACACAAGAATTCTAAATTAAAACCAAATGCCTCCCTAGGTCGCCCAACCCTAGATGATTAAAATCTCTCTATTTCACTGACAAATTATAATGGATTCTTACTTAGAACTATCTAATCACTTTCTCCTTCACTAGGAATGAGAAAAGTGAGAAGAATCCCTAAATAACATCCTACCACTCCTTACTTTCTTCTCTCTATAAGTGCCCTAAGTCTTCTATCTCAATTCAATCCAAGTCCTCCTTTTTATAATTTTTTCTAAAGTGTACTTTGGTGTCTCTTCAAAATGTGTCCACAAAATGTGTCCACAATCAAAATGTGTCCACAATCAATGAATCTTCCAAGAGTTACCTCTTTTCAAGAGCCATTTCAATGTATTTTTGTGCCCATTAACTGTAATTCATGATTTCACCAAGAGTTGCTTCAAACAACCCTTCAAAATTCGTCTAAAATTCCTTAAATTTTCATCATAACTACCTGGCGCGTAAGCGCAAGGTATTCAATGCTTAACCGCGACCTTCTCTATCTCCTTGTGCTTAGGCATTAGTCCTGGGCGCTTAGGCGTCACAGTTCATTTTCACACCTTTATTTTTGCTCCAAATTTGATCCTTTTTCACTTCTTTCACATATTTTATCCATTTAATTTTAACTTACAGAAAAACACACAAATAGATTTCATTAAAGCTCAATATCCTCAAAAATAGGTATTAAAATGTGTACATAAATGTTATATATATTAGGTGTATTAAAATCTCCCAGACTTAAAAATTTACTTGTTCTCAAGTAACACTCCAATCTTTCAAAACTAGAATAAGCCGATTATGCAAATGGTTTCTTTAGGATATTCTAAAATTTTGTTCTAGAAATATAATTTTCCAATTTAGAATCGACTTTAGTAAATGAGACCAACTTAGAGTTTAGAAATATTTAATGTGAAGAAGTATGAAAATATGAGTTCTTATCTAGTTCAAAAATACTTGTAGATTTATTTTTAGTAATTTATTATTTAATTAAATAATTAGTGATCAGCGTATAACATGGAAGATACATGAAAGGATTTTAAAAATTGATGGTGAGTATGTAAGATTGCAAGTTAGACATTAGACCTTCCTTTTCAACTAACTTGCCTTGTTTCTTATTGTAATCCCTTGCCTTGCTCTTTTATTTGCTCATGGTTTGGTGAAGGGGAGAGGATGGAGTCTGTTTTCTGGATTGGAGAAAAGAATGGATTTTGTTTTAGCTCGGAGAGGAGAGGGGGATATGTGAAATTCTATAAGGGAATGAGGAATGGAATTGAGGGAGAATGAGAGTCAAGATTAGATTAGTGAGGGAAGTGGGGAGTTTTAGGGGAAAGGAGTAAAGGAGATTGAGAGCTTGGATTGAGGAGACAATTTAATGGGATAAATGGAAGGGTTTGGATTGAAGTGAGGTGGAGAGAAAAGAGGAGATATGATGTGTGCCTTAGGTGGACCAATAGGATTAAAGGGTGTGGATTAAGGAGTTGGATGGGGGAGTTGGAAAGGGAATGGAGGGTTTGGGATCAAGGGGAGATGAATAAAATTTTTAAAAAAGAGAGGTAATTGTGAAAAAATACTAGTATAGTTCATTTTGAAGAGGATAACATAAGAAATCCAATGATCTAAATTGTTGTGAAAAAAGAGATTCCTAGCTCATGTTACATAAGCGTCTGAAGTGGCTAGGTTGTTGAGAGGTGGTTATTAGGTAGCTGAGTTGGTTATGGTCAAAAGTTTTACTTGAGCTCATTAGCTAAAAAAAATGCAAAGAATTCAATATGCTAAGTGATTTTAGCTAAATTAAGCTTCATGTAATGATATGGCCAATCATTAGGAGAGAGAAAATGGTGACTTTTGAGTTAGAATATTTAATTAACTTTATTAGTCCAAATTGTGTATTTTTCAAATTAAATAACTTTAATTGAAGTCCCAACTTGTTTTGAAGTCATTTTAATGTGGCTATCATCAAACTATTCTCTTATTATTGAAATTATCATTTTTACTCTGGTGAATATTATCAGCTCAATGGGCCTTCATACGAAATCGGATGTAAACAGAGTGATTCATTTAAATGATTTTGATGATAAGAATGCAATGAAAGTTCATTTTTAAAAATAATGACTCGTAGAAAAAAAATTTTGGTACCACTTTTTATGACCATCAAATTAATTTTGATGCTCCTCATGCAACTGTAAGGAACAAAACTTACAAAATATAATTTGAATTACTGCATTGACATGTAAAAAAATTTGATAAGATATAGATGCTGGAATATCATAAGCCATTTAAACTCAATACAATGAAATTTTTTATCCATTAGTAGTCCCAATATCAATATGCTATTAATCTTTCTTTTTTTTTTCAAAATCCATCAACTTTCAAGTTTTAAAAATATGAATGATATCATTTGCATTCATTATCAATCCTTAAAATTAAATTACTTTGATATTATCATCTCCTGTTCTAAGTAACTTTAAAAATTGTGCCTCCATGAATAATGATGCTCTACCTGGTTAAGGGGTTGGAAACAAACCCTTATTTTCTTTGCCAGTAGATTGCAAATTATAAGATTATCTATTTTTTTGAAATTACAGATGCTTGTTAGAATGATTTTTAGTTATTCATTTAGAATCCCATTCAATTAAAATTTTATTTTCTATATTTGGCAATCATTATTAAAATTGATAAGGCTTATTTAATTAGCTAACAAATCCCTATATTTTCTTGTTATAGACAAGGATAATTTACTTAGCCATCAAATTGTGCTCATTAATAAACTTGACAAAACTCATTGGGCAAGCCAACAGTACGCTCGTTAATTGGTTTATCATTGTTTCATTTATTTTTCAAAAAAAAAAAAAAGTATTCATTTAGAATTCAATAATCACAATATGAGTCAAACTAGAATCAATCTCGCACCATAATTTTAAACGAATAAAGTTTGAACGCAATCAGATAAGCTCCAACAATGCTCGAGCCGAATGAACTCGACCATAAATAAGCACCTACACAACTTGATTCAATTCATTTGTAGGCCTACTAAGAACCCTAATGCATACGCAGGAAAGAAATTTATTTAATGATATCCCAGCTTCATAAAATGAATAAAAAAAAAATCATTTTTCTCAACCATCTATAAGGACATAAATTTGCATTAGATAAGGTAAACAAAGAAAGAGTACACGGAGATTAGATTAAAAAACCCAAATGCAAATGATTCAACGCAGGAAAATAGACCCAAGATGTAATCGAGTAAGAAAGATAGAACAATCGTGACATTCCACTAATTCCATCATACAAGCAGCAAGAAAGCATTAACAGATGAAGTGAACAAGACTGGCGTTAGTTGCTGTTACGTCAATGCATTTCTTTTAGGGGCTTTTACATACATAACACCTAAAACTTTCGTATTTACCTATCTCACGCCCAAACTTTCATAATTACAAACATCATATACAAACATCATATGAAAACTATCACTTTTTAATAGTCAAATCTATCTTTTTCATCCATAAGTAAAGTGCTATGTGTGTCGATGTGAGATAGCTAAATCCATAAGAATCGGGTGTTATTTATGTTATTTTCCCTTTCTTTTAATATGACCTGCCAATTGCGAGCCATGTAAAATAAATTCAAAAAAGAAAGTAGCACAGTTTCTATGTAAATCTTCTCAAATCCCACGTGTCCTAAACTTCTTTGCCCTCCCTTATAAATGAATGGAGGGTTATTAGCTAAATAAAAACTATGGTAAACGAATTGAGGTGTTTGTAAATATTTACAGTGATGCGGTTAATCAATGGGATGCTTGTCTGCTTGGCGAGAACTATGTTGTGCGGTCAGCAGCAGTAATGAGAGAAAAGCACTAGCTACAAAGATTGCATCAAACCAGCGGTGGTAGAAATCAAACTGGACATCACCCCCAAGAACATCTGTTATAATAATCCTGCAAATGATAGTCCTTTAGTATAATATTATAACAGAAGCAGAAAAACCATTTTATTTAAGTTAATACATATATTTCAAGCAAGAATTATGCAACTTGTAATATAAATGATGTGTAAAAAATATGACTTCATATTTCCTATGTTTTTAATGCTAATTGTATCATTTTTTGATGTTTTTCTGTGGTATTTATATTTCTATATGTAAAGGCAACATGGGGGAGCATAAGGAGAAAATTGGATGCTAAATCCTGGACTGGCACACCAGCGATTCAACCAACCCAGAATTCAAAGGAAGCCCATTCCTGACTCATAGGCGCCCATTCCTAACTTTCCCTTTGTGCCAAGAAACTGTGAGGGCGGAAACCCAGTGCTACCCGCTGGTGCCTAGGAGCCCAACACCGACTTTAGGTAGTTTTAATGATTCGTAGAGTGATTTGGTTAAATAGGTGATATTTGAATGATGGTGACCGGTTCTCATTTTTCTCTTACTCGTGTTGTGTGAGAGAAGAAAGTGGTCGCGTGTGTGCATTTTGTGTGAGAGTTTGGGAGAAAAGAGAGGGAGAAGAGTTTCTGTACTTGGGAGAACAAGACAAAGAGAGTCTTCATTATAAGATACTTATCTGGCCTGATTGTTCTTCATTGTAAAAGCATTTTAATTTAGATTTCAATAGAAGTTTCTTTGTTTTCTTCACACATGATTAGTAACTAAATTATTTGTGCTTCTTTGATTTGGTAATTTTATGAATCAACTTCTCTCCATATGATTTCCCTAAGACACGTTATGGTTATATTACATGTTGGCATGTTATCTTTTTAATTTTATTTTACTTTCAATCTGACAATTTGAAAAACCACTTGTGATAGAAATATTGACAGTGGGAGATGGCAACTATATATGGGACTAGAGGAGTCTTGAGAGACTTTGCAACATTAAGGAAACAATACCATAATATAAGGTTTCAATACTTCATGTGTAGAGGAATAGAATAAAGAGTATTTATCACTGATTGTCAACATTAGGTAGGAAAATTTCATTGAAGAAAGATTGAGGATCACACAATCCAATTCAGGAAGCATAAATCTCACCTAGAAACTTCAAACACTTGTTAGATTTGCTTTAGAAATATTTACAAGCATATAGAAGAACTTCAGATAACTCGTAATTTCAAACTAGACTAGGATTAGTAAACTAGAAATTTGCCTCTATCAAAAATTAATAAGTTCCTTGCGGGATATGTGGACATATAATTCATATTCTACTTGATCGATATACATAGAGTGTGGTTTACGAGTGCTTAATCACATCGCAAATCAGTGTTGGGCACCGTTATCAAGGAACAATGTTAAATTATTAATTTAGGAGAATTTTAGTTGAAATTTTTAAAGTTTAGATTTGAAACTTGTCTTTTTTTTTATTTTAAATTTTATATATTGTTATTTACAATGTTAAAAAATCAAAAAATATCACGGTTTGTTTTTTCCTCATGTTTTCATCACGTAAATATTTGAATAGTTGTGTTTTCAGTAATTTGTGTTAAGTGATTTGTGTTATCGGTTAGTTTAGGGTCACTAGTTAGTCCTAGGTTGCATACGTAATGCTGGATCTATTGAACTAGATTTTTTTGAATTGAAATAAAAAAAAAACAGTTATAAAATCAAAAACTTCAAAAAGATTTAAGAATAAATGATGAAACCTCGGGAAGAAAACACTCAGCTTAGATCACTTAAGGCTGTCAAATTATTCGTAGGTGAAATACATTAGAGTATCAATAACACTACCATAGAAGCTAACACATTTGAACTCAAATCTGTCATAATTCAGATAGCCCAAAATAATCAGTTTGAAAGTTCACCTACTAAAAGATCCTAACTTTCACATAACTAGCTTCTTAGAAATGTGTGCAAATTTTCGGTAAGATGGTTAAAACATATTAGCTTGGATAGGTGGGGTTGGAGCCTGCCAACAAGAATTTTGCTAATTATTTTGCTGATGACACAAGTAAGACTGGTGGGCCTGTAGTGATTCCACTTGCTCCAATCAGTAGCTTTAGGGATGAGAACAATGGTGGAACAACAGAAATAGCTGGGAAGATCATGACCCTGAAAGAAACTCTGGATAGCCTGAACAACATCCTCCTTAATAATCTGTCATGATTTCTTATAAAAGTCTGAAGAATACCCATCAAGGCCTGCAGCCTTATTTATGCCAATGGAGTCTAAAGCTTTCCAAATTTCAGATTCAGTTGGTATGCCATTGAGATCCAGATCCTTTGTATACTCCTTGTCCTCCATGAATAGACTATGATTGATAGAAATTCTGTCCTCGGAAGGGAAGGTGAGCAGTGATTGGAAAAAATTCATAGCATCATTTGCAATGGAAGTTGAATTAGTGAGCCACTCCCCCCCTAGAATTATGTTTTTTATGGATTGCATTGAACTTCTTTCTATATGAGATACAGGCATGGTAATAACTGGTGTTTCTATCCCCCTCCACAAACCTGGTTACAGCAGCCTTCTGTTTTAAGAAATTTTCCTTCCAAGCAGTAATAGTGAGAAGTTTTTCATAGGCTTCAAATAGTGACTCCTCAGGCATGTGCCCCAAAACAGCAGCTTTTTCTAACAATACTAATATACAACATACCAAACCTAACATGATAGCTTACATGTTTAAAAGAGAGCTAACAATCGATAGTAACATCATAGAGCACGGACACATATAGGACTTTCAACAAATTTTCTAAAAACACTCTAAGGATTCATGATAGTAATAATAAAACTAAACTCACAATCATTAGCACACACTCTTAATTCCTTAAAATTTTTATTTTTCTAAAGATTGTATTCTAAGTGGTGAGTTTCGACTTCTTCCATGAAATTTAAAACTTGGGGCAACAACTACATGATTAAGCCATTGTATAGCGGCCTTTTTTTTTTCAAATCAAGCCATGCAATGTTATAACTTAAGTTCGAAAACTTCATGCGACCTATACAACATTGCAACTTAAGTTCAGAGATCATATGACTTTTTTTTCTTTTGGGTAACATAGAGAGTCTACACTCAAGATGTTTATAATAATTTGAAGTCTCAAGCATCCGAAGTGAATTTGAAAAAAAATATTGAAGATACCACAAAATCATGCAATTTTTGGCTCAAAGAACCGAGTAAAAACCGAAGTTTAATTCAAATCAAATTTTATTTGGGCATGATCGACAAGACATATGAATGTATATATACATACAAATATGTTATATACAATCACGCATCAATATATGTATATATTCATGTATTAAGCGACACGTGTGTATATGTGTGCGTGCACATGTGTGTAGATATACACTGAAATCAAGCTAAATGATAATTTAATAATCACCTAAATAAAAAGTTTGTAAGTAATTTAAAATTAATGAAACAAAAAATTAGACAAGATTTACACTACAACTGCAAATTATGTTTGTACTGAATTTTAAAATATATACCCAATCAAACAAATCAATTACTAACCTTAGAAAATAAATCAAGGTTAGAGATCATTAAATAAATAAAGTTATGCCTCATGACCATGTATTCGCTACTTGCTATTCGCAAAAAAAAAAAAAATTCAAATCCAAATAGCACTCAAAAAAATAGGATGTAGAAAACCCAAAAAATAATATTAAAAAAAATTTATTGCATGCCTTAGGCCTTCCGTTATTATAATAAAAAAATTTCTTATGCAAATACTAATTGAAAAAAAAGTAGTTAGCTCCTATTCTCAAAAAATAGTTGAACACTTGATATTGTTGCATGCTAAGCATATCCCGTAATTAACATTAACGAAGACGCATATCTCTATATCATGTAATCATTACAATAGTAAATACCCTAACAAAGTACAAAATCAGCTAAGCCTAGTAACGAAATCAAGCAATAGTCATATATGGGCCTTGTTCTTAGAACTAATGTTTGGACTTCTAAGTTTTGTTATTATGGTGGTTGGGGATCTCTAATTGGAATGTTACACTTCTTGTACATGGCTAAACATAATCAAATCTTCAAGAAAAAAGAACCAGAAGAACCAAAGACAAACCAGTTATATCACATACATCCAACAAAGAGAACCAAAACCAACAGTTCTAAGGCTTGAAAATTGGACCAGCATGATAAGTTATGGTCAAACAATAATGTCGACAAAATCTTTGCCCATTCAACCAAAGGATAACCAGCTTAACTGACTCAAACCAACACAAGGACTCCAGTCGACAACATATATATTAAAGGATTCAACCCATATTTTATAAAATTCATCATCATAGGCATGTATACATCAAAATAAACTAAAATAAAATAATAAAAAAGCACTAAAACAGAATCAATTAAATTAAAATTAGAAACTCTGCTCAATTTGAATCAATAAATGCATGTGTAAATATTGGATTATAAATTGGCCATATAAGATAAAAAATTAATATATAATTGAATTTTTTTTTTCTCGGGTTCAATTGAACAAGCGAGCAAGGGCTAAAATTAAGATCATATCAAGCCACCTAAACTTAGGCCATACTCAGCCCAAAATTGAGGCAAGTGATCTTGAGGAAATATTGAGTCACAACCAGTTTGATTGAAGATTGTATCATAAAGAGACCTAAATACATGTTTGATGCAGGGTTTATGGAACACTGATAGTGAAAAAAAAAAATTTATTGGTGTACCCTCAAGATGGTACTGGAAGGTTTATGTGAAAAAGGGGTTTCCAAGATTTGGAAAAATTTTAGGTTGAAACCTTTTAAGCTTTAAAAGAGTAACAACCACAAGTTTATCATCTAAATCACATTCATTTTCTAAAAGAGTATTATCATCCAAAATTTTCTAATATTTATCAGGATAAAAGGCCTCAATTTCCTTTAGAAAAAAATTTTAATTGTGCACTCGTTTTAAATATTTTCCTTTTATGACTTCTAAACAAATAATGTCATGTAGCTCTTATTGTTTGGTTCAAGTAGGGCTTTTGGCTTGAAGAGCACTAATAGACAATATGGTAGTAGAAGATTTCAAAATTGAATAGATTGAGTTCCAGTGTTTGTGAAAGGTATAACACTGGATCAAACATGTATTATACCACACTAATGCTAAATCTACTGCATCTTGCCTCTTATAAAATAAGGGATCCTTTTTGTTTCTAATTTTGTCATATCTCAACAATGAACTTACAGGCAAGTTGCCAATCAGGATCAGTGCAGTTTGTCCTTGTTAAGTGGGTCTCATAAGCATCTATCTGGTAAGATGCAGTATCATTCATTATTTAAGGGGAGTAAAAATTGGCAATATAGACCCTTTTCATGAAACCTGGGTTCATAATTGACCTTTAAGAGTTCTTTCATCTCAACCCAAGTCTCTGGGGTCCTACAATTCCTTAGTTCTTTAACTAAGATGTTGGTCCAGTAGATTTAGCATACCCTATAAATTTCATCACAGAATAATTTATCCATTGATAAATCAAAGAAAATCCTACAGTAGGGCCAATCCATATAAGAATTTAGTGGAATCATGGATTACATCAAAGTTGGGGCATTAACTTGTAATTAAAAGCAAAGATCCTCTAAAGCCTAAACAATTTTTTCGGTTGATGTCATTAAACAGGGAGTCTTCAAGACTAGTCGTCCTTAGGTTCAGACTCAAGTAAAAATTAGGGTTTAACAACTAAGCTTCGAAGTTGATCATGAAAAAATATAGACACTTCGAACATACATAATTTTTATCAATAGCATCATATTTTTTTAAAAAATTGTGTGTGTCTGATCGAAGTAATATTGAGGATAAGAAAACTTATAGGAAATGAGAGGGTATAAGACCGCTTATGTCCCAAACTCTCCTTATATTTCAAACTATTTTACAAAGATCTATTCAGTTTTAAAATCACAAATTTTAGCACAGCAAATTCTAGAACTTGTCTTTTATGAATTTTGCAAACAAGTAATCCTCTACTATAATAATAAATGCACAAAAAATTATAAAGTTCAAACGATGAACCCAGAAATATAAGTTTAAATTATCTTTCTCTTGATTAAATTTCGAAATGTTCTTCTTTTAGTTAGAACACACCTTTTATATTTAGGGAATCTCAATAAAATTTTAGGTTATGGCAGGTTCATGCAAAGGCGAAGCTCAGCCTTTTTAGTGGTGGTAATAACTTCAATAAAAGCAAATCCTAATAAATTGAATTTTTTTCTCATGAATAAGCCACCCAACAAGACAAGTAAAAGCTTGAGTACAGCAAGAGTAACTTTTTATAAGGAAAATGCATTTGCATTTCTTTAATTACAAAAACCTCAAATCCTTTTCTTTTTAAAAAAACAAACACTGCCAAAAAAATGTGTGATTTATGTCATAGCCAACATGTGCCTTCAAGCTCTTCCATCTTGACTTTAAAATCTCTTGGCTCTAATCTCAATATGATATGGTCTATGGGATCTTGATGATAATGATGGCGATTTGATTGGTACACTCTTAGAGTAGTGAAAGAAAAAAGGAATTCAAAATTTGGATAGATTTGAGGGTGAAACATAAGCTTTAAAAAGAAAATTTTTTCTAAGAGAAATTTGTAAGAAAATTTACATCAAGAGATTGGGATGTCAGAGAATCAATTTTAATTTTTTTATGGATATTGGACCAATGGATAAAGAGTTATAAATCTTTTAATCTAGTTGCTGAATACAAAATTTTGTTTTATTATATTAAGCTTTATAGCTTGGACATTTTGTAAACGATAGAGAGTAAAGGCATAAGAAATTCATAGAGGCTGTGGTCAAATATGTAACAAGATTTTAAAGCTGTTGAAGGTGACTTGGGTTGAAAGAGGCAAAGATTTAAGGTAGGTCAAGCCTTGTACGGATGAGAGAAGAATTGTGCTAAAAGCAGGGAAAAGTAAGAGTGGCAAGAATAACTAAGGACTCAAAAAGCCTCAGGAATCTTCATTTTAACAGGAAATTTACACGTGCAATAGATAATTTTATTTCAATCAAGTCAAAATTACAAAATATGATTCAATTTGTAAGCCTTTTCCAAGCCTAACCAAGTTTGGAAAACTTTAAGAGCCAATAAACTACTATTACATTGATCGATGACTAGTTCTAATGGAAAGAAAAAATAAATACGAAAAATAATATAAATTTAAGGATTCCAACACCTTGATTGGTGGGGCCAACCTACCCATCAACGGATACCTCAGACTAAGCTTCTAATTTTTTTTCCAATTATTTTGGAGGGATGAGGGAACATCCATGAGCTTATATGGAGAGTTATACATGGTGAATAGCCCAAATTATGATGTAGTTCCTTGGTTTGTGACCTTTTCATTGGCCATTGTGATGATATGACACCAATATTGAATCTACATTTTAATTGACATACATCATCAAATTCTAGAACCACCTCAAAATTAAACACTACAAGTGTTCAGATTGCCAGTCATCGCATTCAACGTAGCATGCTTGAAGTAAAAAAGTTCTATAGATTAACATTGGAAACAACCAATTAATAAAAAAAAATCAACAAACCAAAATACATGCAAATATTTCTACATGATCTGTCAGCAATATAGCATACCTGTATTCACTTGCTAGACTTTTTCTTATCAAGAGGATGGATGATACAAAATACATGCCCATGATCTCAGAAAGAAAAAGAACAACATTGGAAGATGTCTCACTACCAACTCTAGAAACAGCAAAGAAGAACTGCATGCAGAAAATAACAGGAAGTGAGTACTAGGAATGCAGGGACTTTATAACATTTAATGATTCTTCTTGAAAGCTAAATTCAACTGCTTAGATTAAGGTTAATCATGCATAAATAAATAAAAAATTAAGAAAACAAAAAAAGTTATGTCAGAAGTTGAGGCCAATCTTTATGACTTGGAAGGAAAATGAACATATTTATAAGTGCATTTCGGTATGAGCAGAATGAGCTTGAATAAAACATTACCTTCATGAGATTTGATAGAAAGCCTCTAACTGAAATGACAACCAGCATTCCAATGAATAGCAAAGAAACATACTGAGGCACAAAAATGGTATATGATCAATGTTAAGCTTATCTATGAAAAGTTTTTAAAGTTTAAAAACTACAGAGAAGCTAAAGGAAATACTTTCGACTTATATTATTATTATCTCTGATGTTGTTGATCATGATACTCAGCACTCACGAATTTATATGGCACTTATTAATCCAGATGAAACTAATGATTAAATTCTTCAATATTCTCTGGTTTCAATATTAAAGGACCATTCATAACTTTTGGTTCGTGCTTAGTTTAGCCTTATCAGATCACAGGAGATAATTCATGAAACGGGCTGAATTCAGTGCCATAAAACAGTTCAACTTGTAGCACAAAGGAATATTACTTGTGATAGGAGGGCAGCATTGAAGCCTATGTCAAACCGTTGTAATAAAATGCTGATTGTCATCGTCACAGGATCGACGGATCCAGCCTGTCAACAAATGCAATTAGGATCAAACGAACAGCAAATAAATTAGCATAGAGGACAAACACAAGATAACCATGATATTCAATTTAGTTGACTTTACTTTGTAAAATAAAGTTCTAAAGGCATGAAACAACCAATACATTTTTAGGTACTACAAATTCTGAGATAATCATACCTCCTTGAACACCACGCTCTGCAAAGACTGCAAGAAAAACCAAAAACACAACGATCAGACCACATAACAGTACGTGAAGGTAAAAATCATGGATGCAGTACATCAAAATTTTGAAAAATTAAAAATAACCTGGTGCAGAAAAAAAATGGCGTAAGATGTAATCCAAAACAGAAGGATTGAGGAGACAAATAGGGTTCATAATATGTTGAAAAGAAGCATGAAGAAAGATAACCAATAAGAGATTTTCCTCATAGGTCAATGCAGTATGAAGACAAAAGCATAAAAAAAATAAAATAATTATAATATGCAAGTTTTGGTTAAGAAACAGATACAACCCCTAAAATTATCAAACGCAAATTTTTACTCAACACCAGAAATAAAAATGGCTCAAAACTTATAGTGTTAGAAGCATAAAAAATTAATACAAAAACTATGCATTTAAATTCCAATAAATGTAAATTTGAAAGGATCAACTTTTCTATTCAATTTCATCAATATAATAATCTTCATTTTTTAGTTCAAATTACCACAAAAAAAGCTCACCAAAAGCATAATTACAAAGTTTAAGAAATTACTTGAAATTTTAAATGAACTTCAATTATCGTGTACCTATACAATGATTAGCAATTCTATACAGTTCCACCAATATAAAAATCTTTAAATTTTAAGTTCAAATTACTTAAAAAAAAAGCTCACTAAAATCATAATTACCAAATTTAAAAAGTTACTTGAAGTTTTAAATGAACTTCGACTTTCATGTACCTAAGGTTGAAATGAAAATCTCACTGAATCCATATTTGTTTGGCATGGCCAAGATTTATAAAAAATCACAAAAACTGGCACCTCTAACTATTCTTTCCTCCATTCCATGGAAAATAACTTTTACACAACTTCTCACTGCCATGTTTATTTGACTAGCCAAGGCCATTTTCAGATAGCTCTGATCCAAAGCAGATGCATCAATACAATGGATTACAATAAAATCAGTCAAATCAGGAGGAATTCATTGGGGAAAATACAAAACCATCAAACTTATTAAAGATTCTACACCCTTTACAGATGATAAAATTGCAAGCCATTTGTAAAGTTGAATTGCTCTTGGGAAGACAAGTATTTTGTGTTCAACTAATATATATGAACAGGATCATTATTCAGCACAAATATGTCAAGCGCCCCATTACAAACACATATATTTCAGAACGCAATAGTTCAGCTTTGTTAGTGGAAGCCAAATTCTCATTTAGATTGATATTTCGCTGACAACGCCAAATCAAACGGAGAACAAGCATAACGCCAACAATCATGGGGGTCTTCATCCAACTATCATCATTTAAAGAACCTTCCCTCCATCAAGGTCAAGTCTACACCTTCCCACATCCAAATAGAAGTTTTATTGATAAAGCCATCAAATATGCATCCCTAGACCATGGACATCATATTAAGGAATCCAAGCCAAGATCCTCCATCTTCTGCATGAACCCCCTAATATGGGTCATCACTACAAAAACTTATTAGATCTCCCCTTCCTTTTACCCTACTAAATCAAAAGACAGCACACCAGAAGGATGTTCTCACAAAACACCTTCAACCAGACTAAGGCTCCATTTTCACCTCATCCTTGGGCTCTCAATGATGACCTCCATGACATTGCCAAATCCACTCACTCAATAGATCAAGCTTACAACCTCCTCATTACCTCAACAAATGTACCACCTAATATATCATGGTGTCCCTTACAAATCCCTTCACAATGAGCTTCAACATCTATTCTAGAATTTTCCTGTTGTGGATAGGTTTCATTCTATCCCATATCAAAGCTCCAGGAGTCTTCTCACCTTGTTGGTGTCATTCTATTATATGCTCTTTTAATGGGCTTCAAACTAAACACTGTAAAACCATATGATGTCTACACTATTGTTAAGCACATCAAATGCGCCTCAAATACACTCCCCAACTAAGATTCAGTCCCGAACTTATTTTATACTATCCCTAGTAAAATTATCCACATTTTGTTAAACTTTCAGGCTCATTGTCAAACAATTTTTAATAAACTGAAGAATCATCAAAGATTCCTTCCACTTACACAAGAACCACCAAAATGAGGATTAGTTTACCAAAAAAATATTGTTATAGATTCTCCACAACAATATTGTCCAAAGCAAATTTTGAGCTACAGTAGGGAATCATCCTCAAAGGTCTGTGTATTGGTCTATTATATTCATTACAGAGGCGAGAGACAATCCACTATTACATTACACCAGCCTCATCCACAACAATGAGGATCAGAATACCACTAAAACATTAACATGCGTTGAATGTGATTCAAACAAATACAAGGGAAGATAAATAAAACTCCAAATAAAACTATAACCTTATTGTCAATGGAACCAATGCTAGCCTAAGCATTCGTATCTTCCCGCTCAGCTGTCATAATAGTCATAGTAGCAATACAAGGCCTTTTAAAAGAAGGAATGCACACCATTGAACACAACCCAAAAAAATGCTCTGATAGACATTCAGAATAAAAGAATGTTAAGTGGCCATAGCTTCTAATGCATGACCATAAGCACCAAGACCTATACTAGCATATGTTTTGAAAGCTAGGACAATCATTAAATTGAATTGACCATTAATTCAACAATTGATTGCTTTGACAAGTCGAACCAATTAGTTCAACAAATCACCCATATCAATAATGACATCATACTTTTATTATGTATTTAAAAATTAAAAGGTCTTAAATACATATTTAAACATTATAACATCATAAAATTTACATTTTTTTCAAACATTGTAACATTCTAAATAATCTTCCAATTTAAATTAATTATCTTCTAGCGTCGATATAGATGACTCAATTTTACCACCTAAACTAAGTCGCATTATATCACCAACTCCAAAAAATTTTAGCCAAGCCAACAAGCATTCCATAACCTCAATAAAATTGGACCAGCTAGACAATCAATTCCTGAATCAAACTCATTGGTTTGAGCCAATTTTCAAAACATTGGAATTAACACTTCCATTGGAGTAATTGTCACTCCAACAAATCATGTAACTAAAAAGTAAATATTAAGATGTTAATCTGCAAGGAAACCTCAATTTCTTCATCCAATACCAACTTGCATGGGCTAGGACTAACTAGACTATGGGGCGGCATCAACATAAATAGCAGCACAACAACTGCAAAATGTTCAATGAAGTCAACACCACCACTAAATGATCAATGTTATCAAACCAAGGACTTATTGCCACACCAAAGAAATTGTTGTTGAAGTCTCACATTGATTAGTCAATTATTTTTGGTGATTCAAATCTTGGACTTCAAATTCCTCATTAAGTCTCAACAATCATCAATGCTAAAATTGGTAACCCCTGGTTTAATGTAAAAAAGAATCCCAATTGACAAATAGGAGCTCAACTAAAGTATCGTTCCATTCCACCTTACTAAAATTTGGTTTCTTCTATTCCATTATAAGTTGGACAATTGCCCGAAAAGGGTTCAAATCAACGATTCTCTCCTCATCATACTTGAAGAATTCCCCGATGGGTAACTCAACATGTATTAAGTAGCCATATTATATAAGGCTAACAATACTACATTTGAGAAGAACATTTAGTGAATCTATTGCATTTCACCTATATTTTGCACCTGGAGATGGAGTTTCATACTCTGCTATGACATGTTTAATGTGGATAAAACCAACAAATGATGCAATCCTACCATCTCCAACAAACATATTAATGTCTATCTATAACACTTAGCATCGACAATTTCAAACATTAGAATATGAAATAAAGAAACTATAAACAGTGCTTCCCCCATTGAAAACCTGATCAATATCGCACTATCGGAAGGAGCATCTATCATGAATTATGCTTGTTAAGTCCCTATTATCAGTCAAAGAAAGATGAGTGTGAACACTTATAAAAAAAAAGGCATCCTAGTTTGGATGCCCAATAGGGAAGCACGAGATTGACTAAATAATAACAATCCATTAAGTTGGATCCCAAGTTTAAGCTGGTTATTGAAAAAATAAATATATAAATAAAAATTAAATTTTCATCTTAATTGCATATAAATTAATGAGTAGGTCGTTCAAAATAAATTTCTTACAAATAAATTCTTCAAAGACTTTATAAGACAAACCATGGGGATTCATGTCAATGATAAATTGATCAAAAGCTTATCATTGACTTATAGAGTTGTTTTTGTCTCCTCAGTTAATACAAAATGCAACTTATTCTTGTTAAATGAGCCTTCGAATCATCTCCAAAAGTTCGTTGGAATCATGTTAAGAAACAACCGTCATGTTAACACAACAGAATTGAGGAAATTTCAAAAAAATCAAATCATTCCAAAACATGGCACCCACACGAAACATTGAGGCGTAGAGCTTAAACAATCAAATATCAAAATTGTCTCGCTTTTTTACTTGCTCATGAGACAAATATCTCCACTTTGAAGGGTTCATCCAATAATATACTTCAATGGAAAAACAAGTGAACAAATGAATTCAATATGTCATCTCCTTTTCTAAAAAGTTGATGTGCAATGCTGAAACAATTGAGTAGTGGACTTTAGTGGCTTTCGTATCTCATAAGAGATGAATGTCGCCGTTTTTTTAAGATAACGAGGGTTATTTGAAAAACAACTAGATGTTTAAACCTATGCGCATTGAGTTCAATTCATATTATAAAAGAAAATGTCACATAACACATGGTATACTTTATAAGGAAGATCGTCTATGACACAAGTATAATAAGATCTAGAAAAAATAGATTGTCCATGATCTTCTAAGCAAGAAAACTACTTTTGAGCTTTAAAGCCCACACAATCGATGTTTATTCCAAACATCCTTTGAAATGAATCATAAAGAAAACAAAGGCCTATGGAAAGCTGGTGAATTGGATAGTTGAATCAAGAAACTGAGGGAGTTTGACATGAGCTTCTTACCAATCTACCTAATATCAAGTCACAAGTGTTGATGAACTTGTGGTGAAATTTATCACCTAAACTCATTGAG